ATTAATATTCCTGCCCCACCTAGATAATCATGATAATGAGGGATTTATTTTTTTAATTAAATTATGGCTCAAACATGCAAGCCGAATTTAGCGTGATATTGCATTGCACATACGTAGTCAAAATAAGATGGTATTTACGTGTTCTTATTGTGGAGACCTCTCTTCTTATTTACCTTTTACTTCATGTTCTTTCACTTCAGAGATTTCTAAAATTCGTTTTATACTTTACGCCCTGTATGTGCCTTCTCAGGTTGTTGTTACGGTTTTGTTTTTCTTTCTTAAGGCCAACTCTTCCTTGAAGCTTTTTGCATCTCTACTTCCATCTTTTCCCTCATTTCCCTGTTGCTCATGCTAGTTTTTTGTTTCTGGTTTAGAGTGGTTTAGAAGTGCTTTCTTTTATCTTTTTCTTTTCTTTTCTTTTTTTTTTTTTCCCTCAGGCATTGAGGAACCTAGGTACTTCGCCATCACCACTAGCACCTTACCAGTGCTGTATGTTTGTCTTTTCATAGTGCTGCTTCAACTTTGTCTCAGATTCTTGCCATGGTGATGTACATTATGAGCTAATTACAGGTGCAAGCACAGCGCCGCTGGCAGTGGTGATCCCTCAATTATTATTTTTTTTGTTAAATCACTCTTTTAAATTTTTAATTTTTTTCAAAAGGAAGGGATCCATAATTTTACGTCTTTTCATACAGTGATTGGCTTCGTTCTTCTTTGCAGTCTGGAGGACAGTGATGGGAATAAGGAGCCCTGCAATGGCAGCCCTGCTCTTCCCACCCCATCCATCTGCTGGGGCTGCAGATCTCTGGCTTCTGCCTCTTACCTATGAGCAGAAGCAGCACTGAGGTCCACCGAGGACGGACAGGGAAGATTCAGCTCTTTTCTCATACCCATGAGGCTGCAGGAGTAAGAAATGCCACCCTGCTTCGCTGGGATGTTGGAGAGAGGGAATGGACCACAGTCTCACTTGGGTGTGGCATCTTGGCTCCTTCGCAGCTCTGGTTAGAGGGGCATGCCTTGTCAACAGGCAGAGGGAGTGTTTTGTGGCTGGTGATGCCCCCTGGGGACTAGAAAGGCAGAGTATGCCTGAAAGCATGCGGTATTATTTGTTGTTCCCCTCAACACTGATATTTAAATGCCTGCTCGTGGATGGCCTGCTTCCCACTGCCAGCTCTCTTGCTCCTCTGTTATGACTTTGCAGAGCTTCTGGGTGCGGTTTACTTTGAAGTTTGAGGCAAAAATGAAATGCTGAATGGTAATGGCTCTACCTAGTCGGCGTCCTGTGTTGTGCTTTTCATGTAAGTCTCTATGGCGTGTGGGAAACTCGAGTCATGCTGGGAGCATCTGAAATGCTCTGCTGTTTCATCATACACACCGTCTGGGACAAAAAACAGTCCCCCCTGCCCTCAGTCTCCTTCCAAGCTCTTCACCCCCTCCCATCAAAACACTTAGAAGTAGTAATAAGGGACCAGAAATGAATTACACTTCAATTTTGTGGTTAAGACTTCAGGCTTTATTTTTGTTGTAATTTAAACCCTGTAATTCTATGATGCTAATTCCAGCTTCAGATGCTCAAGGAAATGCATCGATCGAGCTTTGTATTAAAATCATCTAGTGGATTTTTGTCCACATTATCCCTGTTAGTTCAGAAGCTTTCTCTTTTAATGGTTGGAAACATTAGGTTTTAATGTATTTATATTTATAAATGTATTTGATCTGCCTGACTGTGGATCCTTGCTTTTGGACTGGGCAGCTCTTCTCTCCCTGTCTGGTTTTGCTTCTCTGTTACTGGCTGATGGCAGCAGCGTTACCTCTTGTGCTCCACTTTGTTGATGCCATGGAACCAAGCCATCCAGTTCTCATTACATAGGTCCCTTGTCTTCCCTCATCATACTCATCTTCCTCTGCATCTCTGCTAATTTGATCCTTTCTGAAATTTAAACAGCGTGCCCTCATTTGCAGAGATTAGGAACACCTCAGTGGCAGAGGGGGAGTTGTGGACACAAGCATGAACCCTTTTTTCTCAAAGATGCTGCTTGGGTGACTTGTGGTGACCAGGGGATATGTCTGGTGCATTATGCTTCTCCAGGCTTTTGAGTTCTGAATGTTTGAAAAGAATTGTTTTTATGAAGTAAAGTGGGATTCAGATTGCAGTATACCCTTTCAAGCTGAAGTGGTAACGACCATTAGTCTTATTACATTGGTTAAAGAAATAGCATGATGGCTTCTATATTTGAGTGCATTAATCACTGAACAATGTTCCTGTTCACATTTCTAGTGATAAATCTAATTGCAAGGTTGATAGCTTGTCACTTTTTTTTCCTGCTTATTTCTGTGGTGCTATTTAAAATTAATTTTCAGGTTCATTATTCTGGTAGAATTCGAAATGTCTGCTAGCTATTTTGAGACCCGTAGCTTCAGTGATTTAATACGATCATTAGGGATGGTCAAGAATAATTTGGCAAGGACAGTATTTAGAAGTGCTCAGTTGTTGAAATACCTTTTGGTGTCAAACTTGAGCACTAGCCTTTCAGGTGTCATCTCTCGATGCTCTGAGGGTCAGTTCCAGGCCCTGTCTGGAGAAGAGCTGGTGTTGGGGCAGTCACCTGCAAGACAGCAGGTGTGATCAAACTGTTGGCTTGGGAGCTGGGGGGAGACAGATTTGGAGCTGTGTTCTATCCTGCATCCGAGCACCATGAGTAGCTGCGTTCTGTGTTATCTCCCCCTGCCTCTGACCCGTTTCTGAAGGTCTTGACTCGTGTCAGCAATGATGTTCTGGGGGGCTGTAAGCATTATTTATCAGGAGGTTGATGCTTGATAGGTTTAATTGCTATGACACCTTCAAAATTAATTCTTTTGTGCACCAGCAGTTTGGTGGTTGTGCAGCTGAGCAGCCACTGATGAGCAACTCCTCTGCTTTGTTTTTGTTGCATTCAGGGTGTAGGCAGCATCCATTTCTCTAAATCTTTGACTCTTCTTCCTTGTTTACCTGCACAATGTGTTCATTCTCTGCAGTTTGGTTGACGTAACCCTTCAGTTTGTGAGTTTACGCTTGAGTTTTGGCAGCTGGTCAGACCAATCACGGCACGTTGCCCTGGTGTTGGTGTCAGTTCTGTTCAATGCCTTGCAACTACTTGTTGCTTCTGCTCTGTTGCTTTCTTCCTTTGCCTTTACCTGTTTCTTGGACTCCCCAGACCCATGAAGACTGATCTGGATGTTGGATGTATTTTGTTGTTTAACAGATAGTTCCTTCTCTCAGTGGGACTTCATGTGGCTTCTTGCGTGCAGAAGAGACGTTGCCTTTTCCTATTCTTGGGAGTTTTGGTGCTAGTGTGACACTCTAGTACTGATTGAATAAAACTGACACATCTAGCCGGTTTTCCCTGTATTTCTCAGGAAGGAAAAAAAGACGTTGCATGGAAAAGAAAAATAAATGCCCCTCCCAAGGCTGCATCCCCAGCGTGAAGCTCTACCTTGGCCACTTGTGCAGGCAGACCCTTGGGCAGTGTAGGAGCTAGTGTAGAGACGAGGTTGCCTGTCCTCCACCCTTCCCGGCCCCTTCCTCATATCTGCCACCACATCGTGTCCCCCATCATCAGCATCTTGTCACATCGCCCCTGCAGCAGAGCAGCCCCCACAGTGGCATGTCACGTGTCAGGCTTTGGGGCATGACCTTCATGGTGTGAGACACTTGGGATCTTTCGGATGTGATAACAGGGAGCCCTGCAGCCTGCATGGGGAATACCTTGTTGAAATATTATCGTTGAATGAAGCCGTGTATACAGACTGATAAGAAATACGAGAATCCTAGAGACCTTCAAAACAGAAGATTGAGGGGTTCTTGGATTTGTTTTACTTTTTCAAGTCTCTGTTAGAAGCAGCTGCTGGTTTTTTTGTGAGTTTGATTTTTTTTTTTAATAAATTTTAAGTGTCGGAATGATTATTACATCCAGCAATTTTGTGTCAAAAACAGGTAATAATTAAAGTCTATTAAATTGCTGAAGTAGAGCTTTTCCTTATTGTGAAACCCTGATACCAGTACCTTGACTTAGAAACCCTTTGTATGACAGGGCTGTGTGTAGCTTATGAATTAAGTAACTCTGTGTACCTTTTCCTGTGGCTTCCAGCTGAAGCGAGCAAGTGCGCAAGAGGGCACATTCTTCAGTTGTTGATAGCATTCCGCCTTAACGAGAAGGAATTTCTTGCCTATTGCCTATTGTTTATGAAGTGGAAAGAGATCACAAGTTGTATAATCTCTCTCTATATCGTTGGATTTAGTTTTGCCTTTTTTTTTTTTTTAAATAACCTTGCTCTTGCTATTTGGCTGATCTACAGCAGGTGCAGCAAGTGGGTGCTGTAGTACACTGCACCTATATTTTGTTATATATTGGTGTGAGCTGGAGGGGGTGGGAAGGGGTGGAGAGGAAGAGGAGGAACGCAAAGAAGAGAACCCCCCCCAAGTAAGGAAGCAGCAGAGCTGAACACGGTTTGGTTTCTGTCTCTCTGGAGCTTTGCACAGCAACCAAACCCAGACTCCAGGTGCAGTATTCCCTCATCGGTCTGTGAGCATAGAAACAGCGTGTCCCTCCTCTTCTTCCTCCCCTGCCAAGAGTTTCTGGGTGGTGAATGTCAGTAGCCGGAGTTATTTTTAAAGGCAAGAGGTGAGGCTTGTCGTGCAAAGCGAGGAAGAGGGCGTTTGTTTGCCGAGCAGAGCTGACATCAAAGTGGAGGCTGCTGCCGACTGGCTCGCCGCTGCCTTATGCCAGGTAATCTTTAACGTGTCCCTCAGTCACCGAGCTCGAACCCCAGCCTGCCTGTGTGCGCGAGGAGTGACCTGCACTCACGATCCAGAAGACTGCTTTTTTCTTTTTTTTTTTTTTTTTCCCTCCCAGTATTATTTCCGTGAGCTGGACTTTGACATTTAGAGGCTCACGCTAATCATCTTGCAAAACCTGCTTAGTGCTTTTAACTAAGCAACTGCTTTCTACTTCTCTTCACAGGATAATATAAATGTTTTTCTGAAAGCGTGTGAAAATATTGGACTGAAAGAAGCTCAGCTTTTTCACCCAGGAGATCTTCAGGATTTGTCCAATCGAGTTACAGTCAAGTAAGTTCTGTGGTTTTGTTTTCTCCCTCCCCTTCTCTTTCTAAGCTGTTCCATGATTTTTTTTTTTTTCCTTATGCTTGCCTATGGAAAAATTCTTCTCTAGATCTGGTACAAGCAATTCTGAATACTGTGGTGAGGGTTTAAACCTTGTTAAGACTAGCAGATGAGATGATTTAGTGTGAAAAAATGAAACATTATTATGCCTTACAAGCAAACTAATTGTTAATGAATATTTACAGCATTTAATATGAGATGGAAACTGTTCAGGTGATTCTAAACTTGGAATAAAATTAACTGTTAAATGATATCGAAAGCATCGTTTCCTTTTATATTGTGAGGTTACCAATGTAAAATCTGTAAGGCTGAGGTGGTACTTCTGACACTTATCTGAATGGCTCCAAGGCTCAGGTACAGTGCTCCTAAAGGTCTGCTGTCTCGCCGCTCCAAAATACTAATCAGGTGTTTGTCACATCCCCTATCAACGGGGGGTGAGTGGCTATGAGTAGAAAACAAGTACTGAATTGCACAGAGGGTAATTGTTTTCCTGTGAAATAGCAGTGGTTTGGTTCTGAAATATTATTAGTGGATTCTCAAATTTCAGTATTGCTGTGTCTCCTGACAGGAGTTTTATTACTAGTTTCTGAGAGGTTAAGGTGGAGCTTTACTGTACAGCCACTTAACAGGTGTTTTAAGATAAATGTGTCATGGAAAAGTACTGTCTTGGGGCACATTGCTTTGCTACAGTATTAACTATTTTTAATTGTGTTGGTACTAAGGGTGAATTTATTAACTCTCCAAGAATAAAACAGCTTTAGTGGGTTTTGCTGGAAACCTGTCAGGTTAAATCTTAAGAATGTATTCCTGTCTTAAATTACCAGTTTTATCAAAGAGGAATAGGCAGTAATCCTTCTGCAAATACAAGGGGAAAAAATATTGTGAAATGACGCAACTGCTTTAATTGGAAAGAAATCTCTTGTAGGTGGATCAGGCGGTAGCGTGTTCATATACTCTCTGCCTGGTTTCAGAATGAAAGTTCACACCGTTTTGAAGGTCTGATACTTGAGATGGCAGCGTGTTTTCCAATGTTTGACTCATACCCGAAACATAATTTCTCACTAATGTGATGTTGAGGGACTTGGCGCCTTTCCAGGACGCTGGTCTTCTCTCCGCTGGTTCCTACGTCATGCCAAAAGCCAGAGGGTGGGTAACCTCTGCCGTGCTGTAATTACCCGCAAAACCCTTGCTCAAGTTATTTTGGAGTGGAGGTTTGTTCCAAGGGTACAGTTGAGAAGGGTTGGAGTTGGTCAGGAGCTGGTCTTTGGCAACGTCGATAGCAACGAGCTGGAACCCTGGGGAGGTCGCAAACTGTTGTGCAAGGTGTGTTGTCCAACTTGTTCCTACATTAACTGCAGTGCCCAAGCAAGGTCAGCCATGAAATTTATCCAGTGGGTCTGTAAGCAGGGTTTTTTTTTTGATCCTATCAGCTCTGCTGCTTCCCTTCCCAGCTCTAGGAGGAGAGAGTATGGCTTGAATCTGAGGTTGCACTAAAGTAATGGAGTACCTACTCTGCAATGGATTAACTTGTATTTTTCAAAAAAGCAGCTTTAACCATGGACTCCCATGCAAGAGGTCTGGGTATAGAGTTGAAAGAGCTGCCAGCCTTATAGCCGTGCTCTTTTAATTTGGTTCAATATAAGTTTGATTTTCCACATGTTGTGTATCATGTGACAGTCCCACAGTGTGTGTAAAATGCTTACAGAGTAATTCAAAACTTCTGTATCTGAGCATGCTGTAAAGTGGTTAACTTAACTGTACCAGCACATTCTGACATGTTTAAGTGTTTGGAGAGGGTTGAGGGGAAGTTTTTATTCTGAGAAATGAAGGAAGTAAGTTAAATGAAGATAACTCTTTCCATTGAAAAGTTAATTGTGCGTCATTTGATTACCCGGAGGGCACGCTAATCTTCAGAGGGTTTCCAGAGGGAGTCATATGTGTGTCAGGAGAAAAACACTGTCTGATCAGGAGCTTTATCTGATGCAGTTATTATTTAATAGAAATATGTCATTTGGGCTGAATTACAAATTTCTTCAAAACTTTTAGGAAGCCATGCCTCAGAAAAGAGATACTGCTTCATGTCTTGCTTTTGTATTATCCTCTGTTAGTTTCAGAGTTAAAAGTAAATAATTTCCTGCCACAAAGAGGGAAAACTTTTTTTTTCTATGCTAATTTTATTAAAAGCTTGCATTTAATTTTTGGCTTTCTAACATTCCTAAGCAAATCCATTTTGCTGCTGTCCCCTGAGGCTCGTTGCCCACATCTCAAACCAACTGCAATAGGTTACACAGGTTAACATTAATGTGTGCCTGAAGCCGTGTGTATTTTGACACCTCAGCAGTATTGCCGTGTTCGGCTGTTGCACCACCATTAGCGTGTGCTTTTTATCTACCCAAAATAGATTAAATAAACTGTTACTTAAGCAGTCAGCCTTTCAGGCTAGGATGGCTGAGAACAGTGCATGGGTAGGATACGTGCATGTACTGCCGGGCATAAGAAGGTGCCCGATTTGCCTTGTATGTGGAGAATAGATAGAAGGACGATCATAGAATGTTAAGGGTTGGAAGGGACCTCCAGGGATCATCTAGTCCAACCCCCTTGCCAGAGCAGGATCCCCTAGGGCAGCCACACAGGAACGCGTCCAGGCGGGTTTTGAAAGTCTCCAGAGAAGGAGACTCCACAACCTCTGTGGGCAGCCTGTGCCAGTGATGCCATTTAAAGGGTGGGTTTGCTCCTCTTGCCAAGGAGGATGTGAGAGTTGTCATTTTATGTCGGAGCAAAACCAGACTCTGACACAGGCTGGGAAGTTGCATCTCCATCCCTGCTGCGCTTGGTCCTTCCATAGACTTTTCTAATTGCTCTGATGCCTCTGCTTGGTGGGAAGGTCCTGCAGGGGGAACACCTACCCCTGAGGATGATGGGCTCTGGGAAGAGGTGTTCTGTCTGTTCCTCCTATCCTGGCTGTCTTGCAGTTGTGTGGGATTCCTCCTCCTGACCTGGTGGGAAATCATAAGCTCTCAGGCTTTCGGCATCTCAGACTGCCGTCATGTCCACCTGGGCAGGCTCCCTTCCCAGCAGGAAGTTATTTTCTCCTCGTCCCTCATTTCTGAGCATGCTTGCTGCATTTCACTGTGCTTTCACTCCTTGAGAGCACTTTTTGTCTTATGAAGAGCAGTGCCAAGCCACTGAGAGATACCAAACTCTTTGTTTCTGTGTGGTGTGATGTTCTTGTGACACCTGAGTTAAGGTAAAGACCCCTTGTTCCTCATGGCTTGCCAGAAGCTATACTAAAAAAACAGTCTTCCTATCTGGTAGGGAGGTTGCCACTTCCACTTGCAGTTTGTTTTTGATTGCAGCTGAGATGATGCACGGCATAATGTGAAACCCTCCTCTGTAATTACTACTAGTATGTGGGATGGGAGAGGCAAGAATCCTCTTAAATATCCAGACTCTCAGTTCCAAGTGATTATGTGATTATCCTTTTCACAGAGAAAAAGCTCCTTAAAATTTTATTGTTTCAAAGTTTGTATGAAGAGGGCTGGTTAAAATTACTGGTTGCTGTTCAAAGCCTTGCAGACTTCATGCTTTGCCAGATCAGCGAAGAGATTAGTAGTCGGGTGATGTGGAAAAAATATACTGGCATGGATGATTTCTTTTCTGCCAATGAAAATGGGAGTGTGGATTAACGTCTGAGATTTATAATTCAGTCTTTCTGTAAATCTGCAGAAGTTATTGCTCAGTGGTATAGTGCAGTAATGTGTCATGTGTTGCAGTAAAAATTCTCCACATGGATTTATTCCTTCCATACGATGTCCAGAAGTCATGTGCAATATCTTCTTGTTTCATGGCTAGTTTGTGTAAATGCATATGTGTCTCTCTTCAGTTCTTTCAGTATATTTGATTTTTTTGTTACCCTAGCATTTAATTATTTTTAATCAGAGATGTTATTTTAAAGCCCAGAAGCTTCAGCTTGTTTATTTGGGGTTTTTTTTGTTGTTGGTTGATGGGTTGTTTGTTTTTTTTATAATAATGCAGGATTGTCTTAATACTTCGTTTGATTCTTTTTTAGTTCTATCAAAGTAAGAATGTAATAAGAGCTTAGTGACTCTCAGTTGTCAGCATGGTTACTATTTAAAAATGTTAAGCACTTCCTTACCCAGCTCTTTAGAGGTGACACACCCAGTTGTTCCCAGCTGTGGAAGGGTTCTCAGTAAAATCATGCCACGGAGTTAAAAGTGAGAGCTTGTTCACGCAGACACCAAACTTCTATTTGGATGGAATGTGTTAGCCCAATTATCAGCTTTAAAGGAGGCAGCCTGAACAATCAGACAGATGGCATCATTAAAATCTGTCTTGTCTTCCAAGTAAATTATTTTTTCATCTGAAAAAAAATCTCATTGTCTAAAATAAGGTATCCACTTAAAGAATCACATTAAATCCAAACAACTGTGGTTTGATAAATGAAAATATTAAACTAAGCAAAAAAAGTTATGAAAGAATTTGCTGCTTTAATCTGACATAACTGATGTTTTTTTAAAGCTGCTACAAGCCCCTGAGCCCTGAGTTTGAAATATTACTACAGGGTTATGTTTAGAGTAGGTCTTGAATGAAACTCAAAAATTGTCTCCAAAGATAGCTGGAGGTATGTCAGCACCTTGCAGAACTTGATATTTGGATGAGGCCTTTGACTTTTTGATGCTCTGTACTTCTCTTACACATTATCAGTCCTGTACCCTAAATCCAGTGTAAATCTCACGAAGCAAACAGAAGACCTTGTTGAAGAAGTGTTGTTGAAGTGGGATTGAGTACTTGAGATGGAGCAACAGAGTTCTGACTCTAGCCCCTGACATTTCTAACTTTTGGATAGTTTTATCTATTGATTTAATGTTCCTTTGGCTCAATCATTTTTAATTGCTTCCTAAAGCAAAAAACAACGCTGGAAAAAT